GCTTTTACCGTATTTGACAATGTGATTAAAGTAAGTTACGTGATATCATTTACATATTCACTGTTTAGTAGCAAATTTGAAGTCAAACTTGTTGCCTTGAATAAGGTCCCCACCATGAGTGTATGTTCTAATTTCTTGCATCACACTTCTAATGTTTACTTTATTGTTCGAAATCGGAAAATTTTCCCGAAAAATCTGAGGAAGATGGCATCTAAGTAACGATCAAGTATCATAAGTGAAATTTAACGATTTTGGCATTGTTATGCTCGCTCTGAGCAATTCTTTGTTCGAATTGGAGTAAATTTGCGAAGAACTTCTCCAGAGAGACAGATTCGGAATATGGTATCGAGCCGTCCGTTGTAAATTCCGATGAATGCTTAAAGCTGGGAAGCGTAAACTGCTCTGTTATTGTATTACTGTCAAGTGTTAATTTGCATGCTTAAGTTCTTATTTTTCATTTAAAGATCACTTTTTAACTAACTGATTACAGTAATAACAAAATTTAATTAATTAAGCCGAATCTTAAATTACAGGTGCTATCGCTGGGAGCCGATGTATTGCCGGAATATAAATTACAACCCACAAGGTTGGTATTTTTTAATTATATTTCATTTCAATAATTATAATGTGTCGTCTTCATGATAGTTCGAAAAGAAAGTTTCAATTTCTTTGACACTTTTACTTGCTTTACTTGTTTGTCGTGACTAATTTAACATCTGATCAATCAGGTAGATTAGTTGTATGATTTTTTTTGTAGATTTTGAAGCTGCTGTTAAATATCATTGATTTTTAATACCTAATATAAGTGACGGTTGATGCATTCATAATTATCAATTTGCCAGGATCCATCATTGTACAATCGTACATTATTCGCCATTTAAAGCTGTTTGGGATTGGATTATTCTGCTTTTGGTCATTTATACTGCCATTTTCACGCCTTATGTTGCAGCCTTTTTACTGCGAGAGGTTGTCTTCTTACTCTGAAAATGAGTAAAACCGTTAACTTTTTCTTTATTCCTCAATTACCGGACTAAGAAAACATGATATTGGAATGAATAAGACTAAAAACTTGTATTCCCATGCCTGTATATCTTTGTAATAGTATACTACGCTTCTGCATAGCTATTTTCTTGCCATCCCACGTCGTCTTTTGGGTGTGATGAACCACGCTTGCTAGCAGATGTTTAACTTCCTTCTCTTAGTCATCAGTGAATTAGTTTTGTCGTTCCAAACAAATGATTTTTCTATTTAGCAACTATAAATGGTAAAAAGTAGAAAATATCACTTTTGCTACAATATGCGTGCTGAAAGTAACACTTAATCCGATAATTTATACTTCTTTAAGATCTACTAAATGATACGTCTGAGACTGAAACGATTCCAAGCAGACTTTCTCATTCATCCTTTAATGCAATCATCTCCTCCATTATCAATTAAGAAAGTTGCTTAAAATCATAATAACGAATAATTTTACCTGCAGGATAGCTCTCGAAAAGCCCGTTTCTCGGAACCATTGGAAATTATTGATTTAATTGTGGATATCATGTTTATTGTCGATATTATTATTAATTTCAGGACAACGTATGTCAATGAAAATGATGAAGTTTGTCCTTGTAATCATTAATTTCACTATTACGCTGACATTGATAATAAGTTCCAAATTGCCGAATCAAAGCACAAAGTAATCAAGTGCTTTCTAGTCATTAGAAAGTTATTAGATTACTTTTTGTAGTGACTAGAAAGTACTTGATTACTTTTTGCTCTGATTCAGCACTTTAATTATTTGATATTTTCACTGCTCAAATATTTTTAAAATTTTGTTAAACAATTTTCATTCATTTTTTTGCATTTAATTTTTTAGAAAAACCAAAGTTTTCTAATTAACTTTGCAGGTTGTATCACATCCTGGTAAGATAGCAATACATTATTTTAAAGGCTGGTTTATAATAGATATGATTGCCGCTGTGCCCTTCGACCTTCTCCTTGTAAATACGAACAGCGATGAGGTAAGGCATTTCATTATTGCTTTCTTCACTTTCATTTTGGATATTAAAGTCAATCTTTTCAGCAGTAAGATATTATGACATGTCTAAATTTGGGCAAATAAATTTAAACTACTTTTGACAGTCAGTTCTTACTAGTTTAGTATTAGGGTTAGCTATTTGCCATCAGAGAGATAAATATATCGCATGACTAAAATTTTCAAATTCACAAAAAATATTGACCAATTTTCTGAGGCTTAAAGACTTTATAACTAAATGCAAATTTTCTATCATTAATATAACTAATTGATAAAAAAGTGGTGAGAAGATTATGTGCTTATTTAGAGAGGTATAATTTGAATATATATTCAATTTGCCTTGTACTTCCCAACACTTTATGCTTCTCAACAACTTATCCTTGCAAATATATTAATCGAAATAGTCTGAAAAAGTTAGCGAAATAAACTCTCAAGAATATATTATGATTTCTTCTTTCTGAAGCACATTTACACAGACATAATAAGCATCAGTAAGGACTTTTGAGAAGTCAAAAGCATTTGTAGTTGTTGTTTTTACTTTATATCAAGAAGTATGCAATTCGATGAAAAATAAAAATTACTAAAATCATTTGAATTAGTTTGCAAGTGAATAAGTCTTTGCGATAAAAAAAGAGATGGATTGCTCAGCCTTTTAGATCAAATTGTTCAAAATTGAGCTTAGTTAAGTTGAGTCATTTAAAACGCATGAAAGTCAGTATGATTACATAGATATTGATGAGGGAATACGTTTAACTCATTAAACGAATCAAAAGAATTCAGATCTAAATATTTTCCATGAAATTAACTTCAAGAAAACTTGATTATTTTAAAATGAAGATCGAATTTAACTGCAATTCATGATTTTTCAATATCTTTTGCTGATGTAAGAAATATATTGCGATATACTACTACTATAGCAAGGTTTAAAAAGCTAAAAATTGGTCGATCGCAAATATGTTTTAAAGAAATGGATTTAAAAATTATAGTGAAATTTGTTTGCTTTTAATGTCATATGGTGGAGTTGAACATGCAGCATTGTACTTCTTAAAGAACTGCTACCTTTTTGGATATTTTACATAATTACTGTATTTGACGTAGTGTGAAGAACAATTATGCATAATAATTTCTGAAAAGATAGGATTAAAATTTTCAATTAGAAAACAAAAAGTATGCAACGAACAACAAAATTTCCTTTTAAGATTGGAGGGCTCAACAAGGACGAGGTAAATTGCAAGCAGTTTCATTCATTTCTGGCTTGTACTCATTCTTTTTGTTCTGCTAACTTTCTTCATCTTTTGAGTTTTTTCTTTTTCTGCGACAAGTAATGAGCAAAACGCATGATTGAGTTCTCTTCTCACTGATGCACGTTGCGAACTGTCATTCCTGTTAACATTTTTTGCTCGCTTGCAGTCATATTTGCAAATTCAAACGTTTGAAATTTGCCATGGCATGTTTTTCCATCTAACAAAACCGACAAAGTGATACAACGATCTACTTATATTTATGCAAATTTTTATTAATCCAAGCAAAATTCGCAGTTTGTCTTGTGAAATGTCTGCAGTGTCTCTTTTAGCTGCTATGAAAACAATACCTTCCACAGAGAGACCCCAACTGAATTTCAAAAAATATAAGAGTTTTTGTCAGAATAATTTTGTAAAAATTGAATTTTTATTTTTTCAGTTAACAATTATTTTTATGAAGTTCTGTCTGAATCGAAAAATTTGAAAGAATTTTACAGAAGGAATCAAAAAAATTTTAATTCTCATAAAATGGCAACTGATAATTGTTATCATACATTCTCTTGACTGTTATCCTTTGGAATAGTCATTTTGCTCTGAAGCATAAATTACTTTGCGTGAACACAAAGAGGCAGAACAAAGCTTGAAATAGCAGAAATACCAATCGAATTCAAACTAGTCGCTTTCGCCTGATATTATTTAGCTTGTCGTTATGTAAGTTAACTAACAAAATTTAAAAATTATGACCTCTGAACTTTCCCTATTTTTTAATTTGAATATTGAAATGACCTTTTCTAGCCAAAAAATTATTATTGACACAATTAGAAGTATCATTTATTCAGAGAAGCGTTGACTAAGTTAGCTAATATAAATTATTTCTCGTGTAAAAATTGAATTATTTGCTGTTTGGAATTTCTTCCGAAATAGTTATTTACATGAGTCCACCTCTAATACTATCAACATTTTGATTAAAATGGTGGTATTATTGGAGGTAGACTCATGTAAATAGTGTAAATTTAATTATTGTAAATGAAACATATGATGTTTGATGAACAAATGGCTCTAGCATTAGTTCTTCGGATGTATTATTTGAATTAATTAACAGATTTATTTATTTATTCATTTATTACCTAATTTTTTTGTTCTACTAGGAATGATGCATTAACTTACTTTTTAAAAATTTATCAGTATTTTAAGTTGGAAGCTAGAATATTGAAATTGCTTGATTGAGCTTTACTGCCCTATCCTTCTGCTGACCTCAAGAGCAATCAGAACGAAATTATGTTTTGCGCTTCGCATATTGAAATTTTTTAAACTTTTAATTTAGATATGATTTAGGTCAGTTCTTTGTCAAAGAAGATAATTTTTTATGTATAGTTTGTTCAATTTTAAATCTCTAAAAGAGAAAAGTTATTCAGTCATTCAGAAAAATCATCTTTTTCTTTATAAAGTGGAAATTTGTATTTTAAAACGTACTCAATTTGGTGGAAAGCCCGAAATGCATACTTTGCTCGAAATACTGTAAAATTATAGTTTGGATGAGATAAGCTTAATTATATCCTCCTTTTAACATTTACACCATGTCAAATTCTGAACATTTCAAACTTCTCCAAAGATTGTGCTTCGACTTTTGTTGAAAGTCTTGCAATTATTTGCCTTCTGGTACGCAAATTGAAAGTGAATGATTTTTTCATCGACTTCACTTGTCTATTTTTTGTCTTTGCTGTGTGCAGATCCACAAAATGCTAATTCTAACCAGTTTTCCGGTTTGTGATGAAATTTTTACCAAATTTTTACTCGAATTCTATTAGCTCATTTATTTATTCAAATTGTTTCGCTGAAAGCATTTACAAAATGAAAAGTTGAATTCGAGCAAAAATTTGGGTTTCACATATATACAAACAAAACTTCAAAATATTTGAGTAATACAAAATATCTCAAATTCTTTCAACACAGTTATTGAATGAATGAAAAATCTGACATATTTTGAAGTTTTGTGTTTTGTTTTTAAAGGACGAAATCGAGCCACTCATAAATGCAAAAATCACAAGCACAGAAAGCAAACAAGTATTTGATCAATCTAAATTAGCATATTCAAAGTTTCAGACAACGACTCTTATCGGTTTGCTGAAAACAGCTCGTCTTTTGAGGTTAGTACGTGTAGCTAGAAAGTTAGATCGTTACTCGGAATACGGTGCTGCTGTCCTGTTATTGCTTATGGCAACCTTTGCCCTAATCGCTCATTGGCTGGGCTGTATTTGGTATGCAATTGGAAGTGCCGAGTTGCCTCATAAAGAATTTACATGGCTTCATCAGCTTGGTCACTTGTCATTAATTTAAATTTTGATGAATTGGTTAATTTAAATAACTAATTACTACTGAGTCAAGAAAAACTTGATGAGGTATTACTTTTTGTCCGGCTAAGTTAGGATTGCTCAAGCATCTATGCAATTTTTCATTATTAGATGGATAAGGAAGCACTGATATTACAAATTCTAGAATTTTGAGTAACTTTTTCTAATGGACTAGTTTTAATATTTCACACCACAAAATTTTAAATGTGTTGTTTGAAGTTCAGTGAGTAACATTACACACGAGCAGTGAGAACGCATTGGAAGTTAACTGAGATATGATTGATGCACAAGCAGTATGCTGCATCAATGATTGACAAAATTTCAAGCAAAATCTCTGAAACTTCAATAACGGATTTGTTTGTTGTTTATTTGAGACTTTAGTTTAAAAACGGACTTTCTATTTGTAGCACGTCACTTGAATGAACCATATTTGTCAACGAATGGAAGCGTGCCAACTGGTGGTCCGTCACTAAAATCACGCTACGTCACATCGCTTTACTTTACACTCTCAACTATCACCTCAATTGGTTTCGGCAATGTTTCTGCTACCACTGATTCTGAGAAAATTTTCACTATAATCATGATGATTTTAGGATGTTAGTTGTAAATTTTAATGTTTTCAATGTTAAATAGACAGCAAAAAGATAATTGCAAGGTTTGACCTAATTCCAAATGTATTGAATTTTGAATATATAACATAAATTTGCATTCTATTTTAAATGAGTGGTTCATTCTAAACATATGGGTAAACACATAAATAATTAAGCAAACGAATAAACACATGCATGACAGCAAAAAAGTTTCAGCTTTAATGTATGCGTCTGTGTTCGGCAATGTGTCTGCGATAATTCAGCGCCTGTATAGTGGAACAGCGAGGTATCATACAGAGATGTCAAGATTACGGGAATTCATTCGGTTTCATCAGATTCCGAACCCTTTGAGGCAAAGGCTGGAGGAATATTTCCAGCATGCGTGGTCCTATACCAATGGCATCGATATGAATACCGTAAGTGATTACTGTTTTTACAGTTCAGCCAATTTCAGTCCATGAGCCAATGGTATCAGCTTTGCTTCATATCAGAGCTAATTATTCAAGTTTTGTTTATCGATCGGACTACTTGGTTATATTCAATAGTTTAGAGTTGAACAGTGCAAATGAATACTTATGCAAGGGAAAGATGGTGATTTGATGTATCATTTTAGGTGTTGAAAGGTTTTCCAGACTGCCTTCAAGCGGATATCTGTCTGCATTTGAATCGAAATTTGCTCAATAGCTGTCCGGCGTTTGCAGGTTGTTCACCGGGATGTCTCCGAGCCTTAAGTATGAGGTCCTCTTGAATTTTTCTCATTTTTCAAATTTTATTCAATCTTTGACTTTACACTATTCAAAACAGTAGCATTACTGTTTAAGATCCAGTGACATTGAAACCATTATCATAAGTCATCATATTAATTATATGAAATTGCCATTACTAAAAGTCAAATATTTGTCGGTCATACACGTTAGATGAGTTTTATCAAAAGATCAATCACAAATCAGGTTTGATTGCTTGTTAACTTTTTTCGACTTGCATATATATTAACTTAAGTGATCAGCTGCAAACTTCAATTTTTCTGTTCAGATATTTACAGCTGTTGTAAAGTATGTTACTAAGCTATGAAGTTGCAGTGATTACAGGTTTCGAACGACGCACGCTCCACCGGGAGATACTTTGGTACATCGAGGAGATGTTCTTACTGGATTGAATTTTATTGCACGAGGTTCGGTAGAGATCTTAAAGGATGATATGGTTATGGGTATTCTCGGTCAGTTGTGCATCACATAATCAGTCT